TTCAAAAGGGACTTTTATCCGACGTGTGATCGTTGTAAACTATCTCCTGCCACACTCCTGCACACATTCTGGTCCTGTCCAAAGCTACATGGATATAAGCAAAGCATCTTTGATACCTTTTCAGGACTATTTGGACGAACTGTTCATCCATCACCATTCATCTCTCTCTTTGGGGTGGCTCCAGCAGAAGCTTCCTTCAGTGAACATCAGAGGACGGTGTTAGCTTTCTGCTCTCTACTGGCTAGAAGACTTATTCTTCTTCGATTGAAGGATCCACATCCTCCAGTATATGGTCATTGGTTAAGAGAAGTTATGTCTTACATTCATTTAGAGACGATTAGATAAACTGTTAGGGGATCTGTAAACAAATTTTTTGACATCTGGCAGCCATTTATATCTTATGTAGAAAAAATTTCAGCAGAGAACTTTGTGTAAAGGTTAAATATTGTTTCATTATTATACACAAACCTGTTCATTTTATCACTTGTATGAATACAAAATCGATTTTATGTAGTTGTTTCAGTGGATCCAGTATAGGAAGGGAGGGGTGGGAGGGATTTTGGGTGTGTGTGTCTTGTTTTGTGTTTTTGTAAGTCAGTTTTTTTTTGTGGTTTGTTAAAAAAAATTAATAAAAAGATCTTGATCAAAAAAAAAAAAATAAACTGGCGACCTACCGGGTACAGAACGACTCCCCTAACCACTCCGCCACAGCCACAGCCTGTTCTAATTGTTGCAACATTACTTTCCTTTAAGGATCTTTAAAATTTTGTTACTTTCCAAAAATAGGTTACAGCCAGCTGTCGCTTATGAATGATGTTACATTTATTACTTGTTTGGTGGATTCTTGGTAGGAAAACATCTTAAAGTGGCAATATTATGTGCTTTCCAAACCTATATTTCAATTTTATACTAAAATAAATTAACTATGTCACATTTTTAGCTCATGAAAGAGTTATATATTTGTAAAAATCCACAAAACAATTTACTTTTCATCTTGACAGTTTCTAAACGTCTTGAAATAGGTCTCTGTCTCTTTAAGAAAATCCAACCACTTCGGTCACGCCGATTTCAGCAAGTAGCCTGCCGGAGTCGCGGAGCGGTTGGGGGTGGGGGGTGCTCTGCCATGAGGATGTTCGGCTTAAAGATGCATCCCAGACGAGGAGCTTGTCCCAAAAGGACACAACCCAGAGGAGGAGCTTGTCCCAAAAGGACACAACCCAGAGGAGGAGCTTGTCCCAAAAGGACACAACCCAGAGGCGTTTTTGGTCCCAAAAGGCGTTCCTGGTCCCTACCTGTCGTTTTGCTCCACAGCATGGCTTCCTAAAAACGCTGCGGGACTTCTCAAATATGCATGAATGAGTCAAAGCAAGGCTTTGTGCATGCTTTTTTATGAGAGTATAACATTATAACATAATATAAAACTCAAAAAAGTTGATTTTACATGATATTGCCTCTTTAAGACCCTTTTCAACTCAACATGCTCATAAACTACAGCAGAAAGTAAAATGTTAAGTAATCCCAGAACCAGTCATAGTAACTCTCACTTTACTAGTGATTTTAGGTTTTTGTCGAGTTATGGGTAAAAGCCCTGCTTAGTTGAACTTTGATTTTCTACAGCTCAGACCTAAATCTCATGAGAATCTTTACAATCAAATACATTAGCAATACAATGTGTTTCTGAAACTTTGTTGTAAAACTCATATTTCTCTTGACCTTCTGACATTTTCTCAGTGTGTAAAAAAAAAAAAGAAAAGATATTTGGTTAACTAAGACCAGTAAAACAAACACATTAACAGAACGTGTAAGACCAAGCAGGTAAATCTCTTTACCTCCATGCCATTCTTCTTCATGCGTCGGCAGGATTTGAGGTAGGTGCGGATGCGCTTTCGGGCGCGTTCCTGAAATTCTGGGAACTGTCTGCTGCAGGACTCAATGATGGCTTGGATTTTCTCCTTGGGCTGTTTGGAGATTGGCACCATCCGATCCAAGTTCTCATCCACAAACAGACGCACAAACATCTGAAAACACAAAAACATCAATAAAAAAACACAGAGGTGGTGTCTTCACTTTGTTCCACATACAGGATTTCTTTAAATTTTATGTACAGTTCCTGCAAAAAGTGCTCACATAATGTCATTTTGCAACACAGTCTTGTGACTACTCATGAGCTATATCAATTCCAATTTGATTAGATTTCAATATCCAATGTGACGCAAAAGTGACCACAAATCCATCTGCTTAAAAAGCTCTAATGCTTGAATAGGAAATCTGCTGGATTCTTCTCTAACTTCAAACAAAATACTTGCTGGTCACAACTACTCTGCCCAATTCTGTTAAAAAATAACTTTTCCTTCAGCAGGTACTAAATCAGATGTCAAGTCATGTTTCCAGTCTTCACTTTCATTTTACTTTTTATTTGATCTGTTTAAAAACAAATCAGTTTTTCAAGGAGCTGTTGGCCACTGTTATCAGTTTTGTGCTGGCCTGTTGATGTGTTTCATTTTATCAGAGCACATATTTTCAATCAGGGGCACCTGCAGGATTTTATTTGAGGGTACGAACCCCGGGGGGGAGGGGGGGGGCAACTCAGGCAGCCAGTGGTACCAACCGCGCCAACTGCGTACAAAAAAACACGTGGGGGGGGTTATGTTCAGACACGGACCTGCGCTTGTCAGTGTTTAAGGTGGGTATTTCCACCATATCTGTGGAAAAGGGGTATCTTTTTACATTTGTGCTTCTTTCCTGGATGGACTTGACTGATCCACTGAGTAAATCCCCCCTCCTCCCTTTGTTACTTTTAACCGGGGGCGTGGTGGCAATAGGGCAATATGGACGTCTGGTTTGCTGACCAGAAAAAGACACATTTATTACTGTAAAAGAAAGCATATTTCAGGAAATAGTCTGTGTTCTTGTTCTGTTTCTGCATTGATGGTACTGTATACAGCTATTTTTGCTCAAGAAAAGAAAATGACATTGCAGAGAATATGATCAGTGTGTGTGTGTGTGTGTGTGTGTGTGTGTGTGTGTGTGTGTGTGT